TTGCAAATTTTTGAGAAAGTGCCATACAGCCTTCCATAGTGGTTGCACCATATCTTCCCAAATTATTTGCTCCATATACTGAGTGAATAAATATGGGGGAAAGATAGAATCCTGACACACACCTTACCGGATTTTAAACCTTACAGTTCCCTTTGTTTTGTCCAAATGTGTACTCCATCCAGAGCAAAATTAAGTGTTCTAGAATTCCTATTATTCTCTTTATTATCCAAAATTTATTATGATCCACATAATTGAATGTCATTTCATTGTCAATAAAACACAAATAAATATATTTCTGATGTCCTCTTCTAAATCCAATTTGATTTTCTGGCAATATTCTGTCAGTGTGCTATTTCAGTTGTTTTTGAGTCATCTTCAGCAGGATTTTGTTTGTGATAAATAGCAAGGACATGTTAAAAGTTATTACTTTTTTAATTTTATATTGAAAATTCTACCAAGTAGAGTTGTTGCTGTTGCTGCTTTTAGGTGTCTTCAAGTTTACCGTGATGTTAGCAGTCTTACAAACAACAGATCAGAGCCTTGCTCTATTGTAAACCATCCTTACAATCGCTGTCCATAGTTGCAGTCAATCCACCACAGTAGTCTCTGTTTCAACTAAGATCTAGCTGTCATCATCATTAATATTTCTCATTACTTGTAACTTCTGAATTCAGTTTGAATTTCTGGAATCTCCTTAAAAAGTACTGTTTCAGTCATTTTGTATAATATTGTTGTTGTTGTTATGTGCCGTCGAGTCGCTTGCGACTCCTAGCGACCCTATGTACAACAGCCCTAAACTCTACTCTATCCTGTGCCAATCTCACTGCCTCTGACACATACATCCTGATTACCCCAGTTGCTGAATCATCCACCTCATAGAGTGTCTTCCCCTTCTGCACTGTCCCTCCACCCTCCCAAGCATGATGTCCCTCTCCAAGGACTTCTCGCTCCTTACAACATGTCCAAAGTATGTCAGATGAAGCCGCAGAATCCTTGCCTCCAAGGAGCAGCCTGGTTTAACCCTCTCCAGGATGAATCTGTTTGTTTTCTTGGCAGTCCATGGTACATTCAATACTCTTCTCCAGCACCACAGCTCAAAGGCATCAATTCTCCTTCTATCCTCCTTAGTCATTGTCCAACTCTTTGATGCATAGCAAGTGATTGCAAAGACCATAGCCTGTATCCAATGCACCTTAGTCTCCAGAGTGACACCATTGCTCTTAAGTATTTTTTTTCCCTAACATGTGATATTAATGATCCTTCAGTGTTGGTATTTAAGGTTTCAATTTGTTTGAATTAGGACCCTTAAAGTGACTGTGATGAGAACACTAATATCCAAAGAAATTTTTACAGAAATCAAATATTGAGGTTTTTGCTTAAAGAAAACATAAAAACAAGGAAGAGATAAACTACCTTTCATTTGGATTTCCTTGAATGCATACAGATGGGGCTGGGGGCTATTTGGATTCTCACATAGAAGAGTGTGGAATAGCTAACAATGTTTAACAATATCTTCCATTTTTTTTGCAGTATTCGCACGATCCTGACATTTTGAGGCAATACAGAAGCCTTCACTAACAGCCACCCTGGGCACCTCCCAAGGCCTACAAAAGGCACCAATCAAATGATACCATGAATCTGTTCTTCAATGACATGATTAATAAGTTGCATGTTGGGAACCTCATAAAATATGCAAAAATTGATGTTAATTCCTTTCTTAAGCAAATGTTGAAAACTCAATGTAATGGTCAGTATCGCCTGAATAAGTGTATGCTTTCTTGTTCTATAATAAATTACTAACATGGGCTTGAGGACCACTCTCAAAGCATATTATTTTGTTTTGATGGATAGGACAATATTTATAGAACAGGGTTAAGATCTTTTGTTTATAAGGTCCCTATGAGTCTGCTTGACTGGATAGCACTTAACAACAACAACAGCATATATGGCCTGGCCCTTGTCTCCATTTTGGAGACTGGGTGAAGTGGCTGGATTCTGTAAGATGAGCGTTCTTATTTTTGTTGAGGATTGGTATGGAATGATTGATTGCTTGTTTTTTAAATTTAAGCCTCTTGTTTGTTGGTTTTTGGATTTTTTTTTTTTTTTTTCAATTTAAGCCTCTTGTTTAAAGCCAACAAGATCTCCTGGAGAGCATTTGCACTTAAGGCCAGGCCCTTGCTTGCCTCTATTTTGGAGACTGGGTGACATGGCTGGTTCTGTAAGATGGTGGTGTTGTTTTGCTTGAGAATCTGTGTGAATTGTTCGGTTGTATTTTTATTTAAGCCTCTCGTTTAGAGTGAACAAGACCTCATGGAGGGCCCAAGGGATTATGTTTTAATCCATTATTATTATGTTTTGAGAAACATTTTTCTAAGTTGGACTGCAGTCTTCTGTCAATTTGCTGTACTGAGGTAATCTGGGTTTGCTGTGACACTGAACCTTGTGCCATTGCGATATCAAATGCCACAATGTTTGCCCATCGTAGATAATATTTGTTGGAGCTCCCCGTTTAAGACAGGTTTAAAAAAAAAAGACAGGTTTGGAAGCAGGAGTGGCATCCACTTCCTAAACCACATGCTTCTGGAAAATCTGTGAACTTGGAGAAACAACAATAGTTATAGAAAGGCTTCAGGTCTTTTGTTCATTGAGTCACTATGAGTCATGCTCAACTAGACAGTAATCAACAACAACAACAACATAAGAAATTTTCCTTCTTGGGCCTGTAGACACCAGAAGCAACCATCATCTCCTTGACCTTTATGACAGACAAGTTTGCACCATGTTTCAGGGAGTGTAATGGTGGAGACCCACTTACAAAGACTTATTCAGCTCACACTGTCTTCAGCCCTACTCCCCCAGTCATGCCCTGCTCAACCTGACTGAGCACCCAACCCTTCACCCAACTGCAGGATTGACCCACAAAGGAGTGGGCCCACCACCCCTGGGCAAAGGATGAGTTCTCATCTCCCCACCCCTCAAGTATCTCCACTCAAAAAAGAAGATTGCCACCGGAACAGAAAACAGATGGAGAACCAGAAAAAAGATTATTGTTGGGAAATTGAATCAAGTACAATGCTTAAAATCTGCAACTCTAACAACATTATCATAAAAATACTGGGCAGTTTCCTATATACACACAACAGAAGTTGTCTCACACACACATGCCAACACAGTACTAAAAACAACAGAAAAGCATGAGAATACAACCCAAAATAACAAAACTAATGTAGAAATTCCAAAAATGCTAGTTGTTATTGTTGTTCTTGTTAAGTGCCTTCGACTCATGGGCAACTCATAACAACCCTATAGACAAAAGTCTTGAACACAAAAAAACTTTCTTTCATCTTTTCTCTTAGTTCAGAGGGTTTCCAGAGGCAAGCTATTTCCGAAGTGGATGCCACTCCTGCTTCCAATCATGTTTTGAGTTCTACCAAACATTGTCCACCACTGGTAACCATTATTGCATTTGACACATCAGTGACACAGTGTTTACCCTCACAGCAACCACAAGTTGCCTTTGTACAACAAATAGCCAGACCAATGTTATACTACTTAGAAGAAGGCTTGACTGAACACAATTAAAAAAAGGCCTGAGGGCCACAGCCCAAGGGCTTAAATGCCTTTTTAAATACTGAGGCCAAATCTAAGCCCGTCACACGCAATTTCAAGCAACAGCCACACCCAAGTCTCAATCAAAAACCAGAAAACACACCTTGGCAGAATCTCACCTCAGGACTCCGTTCATCTTCCCAGATTGACAACCAAATGCCTTTTTATTTTTTTAATTTATTATTAATTTCCATGAAAATTTACAGAGACTTTGGATTTCCATTCATTCATTGCTGCACTTTTCTCCCCTCCTAATCCTCCCCTGCCCCCAGTACACTACCCTCTTGGAAAAGTAAAAGAAAAATTCTTTCATTGTTTTATAATCCCTCCCCTCAGGTCCACTCCACTATACAGCCTTCACTCTGGACTCCTGTAATGACAAAAATACCAAATTACATATTCCTTTTAAACGGTTCTCTCCCTCATCTGTTTCAGTGAAGTATACACTATTTAATCCATCCTACTCAGTCTCCCCCACAACCACAAGGTCAGTCCTGTTTTATAATAGTGGCACCATGCAGTATTTGTCCTTTTGTGACTGAGATACCTCACTCAGCATAATGTCTTCCAGGGTCACCCATTTTGAATAATATTGCATGAGTTCCTTGTTTTTCAATGCAGCACAGTATTCCATTGTGTGGATATACCACAGCTTCTCTATCCATTTGTTTCTTGATGGGCACCTGGGTTGTTTCCAACTCCTTGTTATGGTAAACAAAGTCGCAATAAACGTGTGTGCATATATCTGCTTGGATGGCAGTTATGGTCTCTTTAGGGTATGTTCCCAGTAGTGGAATTGCTGGGTCAAATGGTATCTCTATTTGTAACTGTTTGAGAAAATGTCATACTGCCTTCCACAGTGGTTGCACCATTTTACACTTTCATCAACAGTGAATCACTGAGTCACTGTATC